CCGCCAACATCTTCTGATTTTCACCTCAGCTGATCTCAGTGAACGGCATATAAAAACACATGGCTTTCCTTTCTTAAGTTCTATTCCCTCTATTTCTGCATAGCTTTTTCTTCTCTATGGAGTTTCTCTACATGAAATGAAGAATACAAATGTAAGTATGACTGTCCATGTTGTTATCCAGGGGCCAATCTTTTATTTAACCTTTAAAGGTAAACCGTAATCATTGTGAGAGACCATTTTACACAGTCCATATAAAGGTTATTCATCTAAAACACTCATGTAAACTCAGGACTTGCCATAAAAGGAGAGTCTCACTGTATCATGACACCAGTTGCTTTATTTTAATAATTTCCGTTCACACAATAATAAACCAAGGTCAGCCTGTTGGCGATCAGTTTGATAAACACTGACAAGGAAAGCAAATATTGTGACAGGACAAGCTGGATATTTATATCCTGTGAGGTTTCCTGTGTCACTAGACAACATGTTTATTCTCCGTGTTTGCTTCTCGGTATCTCCTGTGACCCGACAGGACACCACAGAGCTGCAGAATAATGTTGTCAACAAAGACAACAGGAGAGAAAAACAAGAATCCTCGTCAGGCAGAACGTGTCTGTTTGTTCTGACGAGTCGCTCCAGGCCTGTAGTGACATTACACTGCAATTAGCAGAGGACGTGTTTAAGCAAAAACAGACAGAGATTGATGATAATTAGGTCAAATGAAATGATGAAATGAAACTGAGGAGCTGAGATAATCTATTAACAGGAAAATATAATTTGTCTTCCATTCATCCTCTATAAACCTTAACACCCTCAGAAATCAGGCACTCATTTAAATTCACCATAGGAGTGTGTCTGGTGTTGATAAGGGGTTTTAAAATGTGTCAGGGTACATGTAGGTGTTTTATTAATTTCATTTCCCCTGTTTAGTGATCTGTTTCATTTCTTTTGTAGCAACAAAGAGTGTCAGTGCTGGGAGCGTGTCATAACGGAAAAACAAAATGAAGATGAGAGACTGACTGTGATTCACACATGAGCCAGCAGAATCTGATTATTTCTTTTATTTTAATTAACCCCCCTTAACTGCCACTGCATTTATGTACTCTTGCAATTTGAACAAAAGTATCAATTTAATAGAGATGAATCATCATCAAACAAGAGTTAACACATTTTCATGAGTCAGTGCCTAAGCATACAATCGGTTGTTCTTAAGCCTTCAAAAATGCAGGTATGTTTTTTGAGCATGTCAATGAATTTATTTTTCAAATTTGGGGCAGTTATAAAATAATTGTTATCGGTGAAATTGGGATGTTGATAGCGGTAGGATTGATGGGTGGAGGTAGAGTTTAAGGAGAACTTGATGATGAGTAAAAGATAAGCAATGGATGGAAGATGAAAGAGAAAAATAGGAAATATACCAGAAATGTTTACAGGATAATTATTTGATCAGTATTTTTGGAACAGTCTCAACACATAAGCTAAATATTGAATACTGTGATACGCTTCTTCAGTACACTTATAAGACAACACTGGAGGGCTATTATATTCACTCATTTAGTAATCCAACATAATACATTATACATTATCAACACTTATTGTTATTAGTTAGTGTTAGAGAGATATTGCTGTTTGGTGTGTTGAGCTGCACTTGTGTACTGCAGTCAGAGGTGGAAGAGATACTTAGATACTGTATATTGTTCTTAAGTAAGGTAGAAGTACCAGAGTGTAGGAATACTCTGTTACAGTGAAAGTCCTGCATTCAAAATGTTCCTCAAGTAAAAGTAGAAAAGTATTATCATCAAAATATAGTGAAAGTAGCGACAGTAAAAGTAGTCATTGTGCAGATTGGTCCATTTCAGAATAATATATATGATATGTTTTATAATGATTGATCATTAAAGTGTTCTCAAAGCTGGTAAAGGTGCAGCTAGTTTGAATGACTTTGTATACTGCAGGGTAGCTTGTGAATTTACTCCAGGTGGAACTAAAGTCTGATTTAAGAAAGAATAAAATCCTTCGGCTGAGAAAATGAAAGGAGAGGTGTAAGGGCTGGGATTGAGGTGGAATAAAAAGTAGGGAAGGGAGGTGCAGAAGAAGTGATGGAGGGATAAAGGGTTGATTAAAGAGTAAAATAAGGGATAGGGATCATTTGAGGAAGGAGGGATTTGCTAGATAAAGAAGAGGGATTGATAGAGAAGAAGGTGGGATAGAAAAAAGTGCCATGAGTCATTAAAGGATTCATCGAAAGTGATCAAAGTGAAGAAAGGGATAAAAGGAAGGATGGAGAGGGCAGAGGGGAAGGAGGGATACAGTGTAGTAAGAAGTAAAAAGGACAGGAAGGATGAGTGTGTGAGACGGGAGGAGAGGATGAAAAAAGGAGGGATTGGAGTATCATCCTAAACACGTTTATAGTCACCATCCAGGGTACAGGCAAGTGTGGTACCATGGCAACAAGGAGAGAAGTTGGGTGGGACAATCAATCAAGAGGGGAGGGTGCTGA